CAGAGAAGAACAAGGACCCCACAGTCCTCCTCCTCCTTACAAACTCCCCTCCCTTCTTAGGTGGCTGGGCAATTCTGAGAAGTCCACGAGTCTTAAACTTGGGTCTTCTCCCCAGGACCCCAATAAATGAAGGAAGCAGAGGCACCCCCCAAAATGCAGAAGGGTTTCTGGTGAAAACTGCCCAGTAGGGACAGAGAGGAAAACGCACGGATTTGTGGTGCAAAAATGGATTACGCCTGCCCAGCCCTTTCCCCCTGGCGAACCGCCACGCCAGACGCCCTCGGGAGGGGAGGACTTCCACCAGGTTTTAGCTGAAGCGAGGTTGGGAAGGAGGTCCTGCGAGTTGTGGGAATCCAGCCCCGGCGCTGGAATGGGGCCAGTAGGTTCAGGCCCAATGGCTTGTTTTGGACACCCCACAGTCTCTGGGCGCTATTCTCCAGGACTGGGGGCTGAGACGAGCGATAGTCAAGCGCTTTCGAAGTGGGGGCGATGGAACGAAAGGCGTTGCCAGGTCTGTAGATGACGCCACGCAAGGGGGACCGGCTGGCCTGCTACAAGGCAAAATGAAGAACTCTGGGATCAAGAAACGTGAGGATGGCCTCAAGGGCCACAGGAAGATGCTCCAAGAGAAGGGAATATTTGTAGCTCAGAGAGAGTTGAATGCGGGGTCCTCCGTGCCCCCTGAGCTGGGTTGTTTCCTTGCAGACGTTTCATGACCCAACCAGGGAACGTCATCAGCAGGAGAAAGGAGGGGAGTTTGTAGGGAGGAGGAGGAGGAGGAGGAGGAGGAGGAAGAAGAAGAGGAGGAGGAGAGGAAAGGGAGGGGAGGGGGCAGAAAAAGAAGGATTGTGGGGTCCTTGAAGCTGTCTGAGCTTGGCTGTTTCCTTGCAGATGTTTCATGACCCAACTAGGGAATGTCATCAGCAGTAGAAACGAGGGGAGTTTGTAGGGAGGAGGAGGAGGAGGAGGAGGAGGAGGAGGAGGGGGAGGGGGAGGGGGAGGGGGAGGAGGAGGATTGTGGGGTCCTTGATGGTCTCTGAGCTTGATTGTTTTCTTACAGACATTTCATGACCCAACTAGGGAACGTCATCAGCAGTAGAAGGGAGGGGAGTTTGTAGGGAGGAGGAAGAGGAGGAGGAGGAGAGGAAAGGGAGGGGAGGGGGCAGAAAGAGAAGGATTGTGGGGTCCTTGAAGCTCTATGAACTTGGTTGTTTTCTTGCAGACATTTCACTACCTCACTAGGTAATGTGATCAGTGCTAGAAGGGAGCAGGGTTTGAGGAGGGGGAGAGAGGAGAAAGAGGAGGAAGAAGAAGACTGTGGGGTCCTTGTGGCCTCTGAGCTTGGTGGTTTTCCTACAGACATTTCATTACCAAACTGGGCTAGCACTGTTGGTGTTACCTAGTCTGGTAACGAAATGTCTACGAAAAAACTCGCACCCAGGACCCCATGGGATGATGCTCACTGACCGTGAGGCTAAAGAGGCAGCTATCCAGCCCCTGCATGGGTGCATCAAATGCACAAGTCCAGGGATCGGAGCCCCCAGGCTTGGCTGCAGCCAGGGGAGAAGGATTGTAGGGTGAGGGTGCCCATCCGTGGGAACGTTAAGGCTGCTGGCTGGGGAATTCTGGGAGTTGAAGTCCACAAGTAATAATAATAATAATTGGAGGTCATCTAGTCCAACCCCCTGCTCAGGCAGGAAACTCTATACCATTTCAGACAAAGGGCTGTCCAGTCTCTTCTTAAAAACTTCCAGTTTTGGAACACCCAAAAGTTCTGGAGGCAAGGAGTTTCATTGGTTAATTGTTCTAACTGTCAGGAAGTTTCTCCTTAGTTCCAGGTTGCTTCTCTCCTTGATGAGTTTCCATCGGTTGCTCCTTGTCCTGCCTTCAGGGGCTTTGGAGAGAGCTTGACTGCCTCTTCTTTGGGGCAGCCCCTGAGATACTAGAAGACTGCTATCCTGTCCCCCCCTTGTCCTTCTCTTTGTTAAACTAGACATACCCAGTTCTAGCAACCGTTCCTTATATGTTTTAGCCTCCAGTCCCCTAATCATCTTTGTTGCTCTTCTCTGTACTCTTTCTAGAGTCTCAGCATCTTTTTTACATTGTGATGACCAAAACTGGATGCAGGATTCCAAGTGTGGCCTTACCAAGGAATTGTAAAGTGGTATTAATACTTCACGTAATCTTGATTCTATCCCTCTGTTAATGCAGCCCAGCACTGTGTTGGCCTTTTTGGCAGCTGCAGCCCACGGCCGGCTCCTATTTAAGGGATCGTCCACTAGGACTCCGAGGTCCCCCTCACAGTTGCTACTATTGAGCAAGGTACCCCCTATACAATACCTGTACATTTGGTTTTTCTTGCCTAAATGTAGGACCTTACTTTTTTCACCCTTGAATTTCATTTTGTTAGATAGCGCCCAGAGTTCAAGTCTGTCCAGATCCTCCTGTATCCTAAGCCTTAAAGTTCCCCAAGCTGTACACCCCCACCCTACTCCCCCATTGCAGACAAACGGCTTCCCAGTCTCCAGCGATGGAGCACCCATGATTTCCGGGAGAAAGCCTTCAGAAGTTTATTTTATTTATTTATCAAATTTAGAGACTTCCGTGCAGTTGTTCCTTTTGTGATAGCTGGCCAACTCCACGTCTGGCTCCAGGCCAAGGCCGAGCTCTGCCCTTAAGTCACGCTGTCACAGGCCGCTGAAACCACGCAGGCTCCCAGCAGGATCCCTGAGCCAAATGGGCCATTTTTCTTGGCGTGTCCTTTTGGCAGCTAACCATCCTTTTTGTTGGCTGCAATGGCTGGAAACACCCAGAGGTCACTCAGCTGCCCACTAACCCCCCCCCAATGCTTTCTCGATGTCTTCTGGACCCCCACCACCCTCAGCCTCCCTGTTTGGGGGGGTGAGGTTGCCTCTGAAAGTTGGCATAAAATGCCAGTTAGCCAGGCGGCTGAGATGCCCATCACTGGCTCTGCCTGTGGCTGAACCTGCCTTGTGGGCATCTCTGTGTGGCATCTATAAAACCCTACTGGGGCCACACCTGGAACATCACAACCAATTTTGGTCACCATGCTACAAAAAAGATGTTGAGACCTTGGAAAAAATTCAGAGAAGAGCAACTAAGATGATCCAAGGCTTGGAGACTAAAACATATGAAGAGCAGCTGCAGGACTTGGGTATGTCTAGTTTAATGAAGAGAAAGACGAGGGGGGATATGATAGCAGTGTTCCAGTATCTCAGGGGCTGCCCCAAAGAAGAGGCAGTCAAGCTATTCTCCAAAGCGCCTGAAGGCCGGACAAGAAGCAACGGATGGAAACTCATCAAGAAGAGAAGCAACCTGGAACTAAGGAGAAACTTCCTGACAGTGAGGACAATTAAGCAGTGGAACATCTTGCCACCAGAAATCGTGGGTGCTCCATCACCGGAGGTTTTTAAGAAGATGCTGGACAGTCAGTCACCTGTCTGAGATGGCATAGGTTCTCCTGCTTGAGCGGGGGGTTGGACTAGAAGACCTCCAAGGTCCCTTCCAGCTCTATTCTATTCATTCATCTCTCCACAAATGCGTTGTTTAGGAAGGGGAAATGAGCTTCTCTCAACTTTCTGAGGCTGTACAGCCAGTCCTCAACTTACAACTACTCTTTTAGAGACCACTCGAAGGTACGCCACTGAAAAATGTGACTTATGACCATTTTTTCACACTTAACCACCATGGCAGCATCCTCGTCATCACAAAGTTCAGACACTTGGCCACAGACTCTTATTTACAACGGTCGCTGTGTCCTGGAGTCACGTGATCCTCTTTTGCAACTTTCTGAGAAGCAAAGTCAAGGGAGGGGAAGCCAGATTCATTTAGTGACGGGGTGACTCACTTAATAACAATTCACTTAACATCTCTGGCGAGGAAGGTTGCAACATGAGGCAAAGCTCACTTAAGAGCTGTCTCACTTAACGACATAAATTTTGGGCTCGGTTGTGGTTGTAAGTAGAGGACTAAAACCTGAATGTTTTTATTGACGAGGGGGGGGAGGCAAGAAATGAGTTGAGCCCAGCCTTGGGGAAGGCAGGGTGGGCTTGCCAAGCCTCAGCAGCCCCCTTGCCTCCCCCATCTCTTGCTCCCGAATGCCTCAGAGGGGGGGGCAGGCCGCCTAATCCCGCATTAAAATATCTGGCCGCGGAATTCTGGGAGTTGAAGTCCGCGAGTCTTAAAGCATCCAAGGTTGAGAAACGGGAACGAGGCAGCTGTGCGGGCGATGCGGGCGGCTCTGCTGCCACCTCCTGGCCAGACGGGCGTACGGCAACCTTCCCGCCGCTAATGCCTCCGCTGCGCAATCCCGGCTTCAAAGGCTCCGCGCGAGCGGGAGGGGAAGCTCGAGGGCATCTAGTCCAGCCCCCCTGCGCGGTGCGGGAACTCTTCTCAATCATTCCGGCAGCCCCTCGATTTGAAACCCTCCCGCGAGGGGGAGTTGAGTCATCCGTCCATCGATGGACGGCGACTCTCAGCGACCCCGCGGGACAGATTTGCCCCACTCCCCAAAGAGGGTCTCTCTCTCTCTCTCCCCCCCCCGCCGCGTAGTCTTTCAGGCCCTCCAGCACCGGAATCCCACCCCCACCCCCCACCGCCCCCTTTGTCAATAAATTCCTCCCAATTTGCAGGCTGGATCCCCTCTTTCCAGGTCTTCTCTCTCTTTCAGCACATCAGAGATGCCATCCAGCCCGGGCACGGTCAAAAAAGTCAAGATGGAGGCCGCACAACCCCTGCCTCTGACACGCATGGCCCCCGTCCTGCGACCCGGGCCCCTCCCTTGACTTTGTGGACACCCCTCTCCAGCTTTTTGCTCCCTCCCTTCGCCCCCTTGGGCGGAAAGCCCCCCCGCCTGGGAATTCCTGTCCTCCCCCACCAGCTCCCGCTGCCCCCCCCCGGATGCCCCCCTCGCCCGCTGCCAGGAGAGCCTCTGCCTGCCGCCGCCGCCGCCGGGCACTGCCAGCCCCGCCGCTCTTCCCGCCCCCTTCCCAGCCCCACAGCCCAGCGGCCGCAGCAGAAGCAGCCCGCGCCTCCGCTGCCTCTGCCCGCACTTTCCGGCGGGGGCCACGAAAGAAGGGGGTCTCCGGCAGCGCCCCTCAGCCAGGTAGGGGCCTAGGCGGGGTCTGGGCGGGGAGGGGCTGGCGCCCGGGTCCTCACCTGCTGGCCGAGCATCTGAGCGCTCCGGAGTGCGACTTTTTTTTCCCCCCCAAGGTGAGCGCGGGGCGCCGACTGCAGGGATCAGAGGACCCCCGAGAGGAGATTCTCTGCCCGAATTCGCTGCTAGGACTTGGCCTTCGAAGGCCGGGCAGGTGGGCTTCGTCCCGGTGGGAAGGGGGGAGACCCAGACCTCCCCCCCAAGAACAGGCTCCTGCGCGTTAAGTGTATTCGTTTAGTGATCGCATTTATTGGCCACCCATCTTACCGTGGGGTAACTCTAATAATAATAATAATAATAATAATAATAATAATAATAATAATAATAATAATAACAACAACAACAACAACAACAATAATAATAATAATAATAATAATATCAATTGCAAAAGGCGGCCTTACTAGGAACTGCTTCCATCCTGCGACGATATCTGTAATACCATCAAACATCCACATCTGCCTATCCCAGGTCCTGGGTAAGGACTCGATAGGTAGACAAAATGCCAAATCCAGTCTGAACATCTGGCTGACTGTGCGATGATCCATAATAATAATAATAATAATAATAATAATAATAATAATAATAATAATAGTAATGACTCGATAGGTAGACAAAATGCCAAATCCAGTCTGAACATCTGGCTGACTGTGCGATGATCAATATAATAATAATAATAATAATAATAATAATAATAATAATAATAATAATAATAATAAAGTTGGAAGGGACCTTGGAGGTCATCAGGTCCAGCCCCCTGCTCAGGCAGGAGACCCTATACCATTTCGGACAAATGGCTGTCCAGTCTCTTCTTAAAAACCTCCAGTGTTGGAGCATTCACCGCTTCTGGAGGCAGGTAGTTCCACTGGTTCATTGTTCTGACTGTGAGGAAGTTTCTCCTTAGTTCTAGGATGCTTCTCTCCTTGACTTTAAAATTTCTGTTTCAATGCCAATTGCATCTCACTGACAACTGTCTATTGAATATTTAACACCACCAGTGTCTCAAGAAGCAGGAAGAACCCAAACTTCACTTTCAAAGCCGTGCCGTGCCCTTGGCTATTCCTGGAGACTTTGGACAGAGACACTCCCGTGTGGACTCCTTGACCCGGGTACCTGAATCCAATCCTGAAAAGCTTTTCCAGGTCAGGCTCAGTTCTCAAGCTCCGTGCGTAGTCCCAGGGCTCCTTCAGCAGCCCCCCCAGCCCCCCCCAGCAGATCACAGGGATCAAAGTGGCAGAAAATGCCCAGGAGGTGTTCCAGCTGGTTACTGAACAACAAATACACAAAGGAGGCCTTGAGTCTGCAGCTGAAGTGACCTAAAATTGCTTTTTCGTGCAGGGTGCTGGGCTGCCAACTCCTCTCCAGCTCCACTCAGATTAAAGTTCGCTTCTCCGGGATCCTGGCGGGGAGGGGGGGGGTCCCTGGGACACTGCCTGGAATTGTGACCTGTTGGAATTTATTTATTTGGGTAAGGTTGAGGTTTTGCAATTTAGCGCCAGGGCAAAGGCCTGTTAAAGGCACAGGGGACCACATTAGCCTGCAATTGCTTTATCTGGATTTTTAATGGTTTTTTTTTTTCCAACTTTGGCAACTTTAAGACCTGTGGACTTCAATTCCCAGAATTCCCCAGCCAGCAGACCTTAAAGTTGCTGGCTGGGCCACCCCTAATTTAGTGAGTCTTCTCTCTCTTTACAAGCTCACTTTCTCCTCATACTCCCTTCCCCCCAGCCCTACTGAGTCCCCCACCCCAGCTTCCCACTGCCAGGGTGCATTTTTTAAGTGCCCTGCCTGGCTGCACCCTACTTTTTCCACCCTAGACCAAATAATTAATAATCATCAACATCATCATTCATCATCATCATCAATATCAATATCAGGAAGGCTTACTGACTACTGGAGAGACCAAACGGGCCTACAAGAAAGACCAAATGAAGAACAGAATAGAGGCATGGGAAGACAAAGCACTACATGGCCAATACATGAAAAAAAATAGCTGGGAAAGCAGATAATAACAAGACCTGGCAATGGCTAAGAACAGGAAAATTGAAGAAAGAGACCGAGGGACTAATTCTGGCTGTACAAGACCAAGCCTTAAGGACAAATGCATACAAAGTCAAAATTGAGAAGACAGCAACAGACAATAAGTGCCGCCTATGCAAAGAAGCTGAAGAAACAGTGGACCACCTGGTAAGCTGTTGCAAGAAGATTGCACAGACTGACTACAAGCAGCGGCATGACAAAGTAGCAACAATGGTGCATTGGAAGATCTGCAAAAAATATCATTTGCCTGTAAGCAAAAACTGGTGGGATCATAAAATAGAGAAAGTCATAGAAAATGATCAAATTAAACTGCTCTGGGATTTCAGAATTCAAACAGACAAGCACCTGTAACGTAACACCCCAGACTTAACAATTGTCGATAAGAAAGACAAAAAAGTCTGGATAGTGGACGTGTCAGTGCCTGGAGATAGCAGAATAGAAGAGAAAGAACTGGAGAAGATAACAAAATACAAAGACCTACAAATAGAAATAGAAAGACTGTGGCAAAAGCAAGCAAGGGTAGTACCAATAGTCATAGGCTCCTTGGGTGCAATCCCAAAACAACTGGAGCACCACTTGAACACCATTGGCATTGACAAATTCGCTATTAGTCAATTGCAAAAGGCGGCCTTATTAGGAACTGCTTCCATCCTGCGACGATACCTGTAATACCATCAAACATCCACATCTGCCTATCCCAGGTCCTGGGTAAGGACTCGATAGGTAGACAAAATGCCAAATCCAGTCTGAACATCTGGCTGACTGTGCGATGATCCATAATAATAAAAATGGAAGGGACTTTGGAGGTCTTCTAGCCCAACCCCTGCTCAGGCAGGAAACCCTAATTCTGCCCAGCCTGTCTGAAATGCCTCTCTCTGTGCCCCCCCCCCTGCAGCCCCCTCCGCTGGCAGCAGAGCCTCTGCCCCATGGACCTGAAGACGGTGCCAGCCTCCCGCGAGCCGGGCTGGTATCTGAAGCTGATGGACCCCAATGTCAAGGGCTCCTCCTACGCCTGGCTGGACCCCTCCCGTCTCTACTGCCACTCTCAGGTGTGGGGAGGGGCCTCAGGAAGGGGGGGCTGGGGACGGAAGGAGGGAGGGAGAGGGGCTTCCTCCCTCTCTTGGGGTCTTCTGCACCCCCCCCCTTGATCTTCTGTTCCCTCCACGGGGATGAGCCTGGGCCGTGCCATTCACCAGGACGGCTGCCACAGCCCGTCAGTCACCAGTCAGAGCCTGACAAGTGTGTGCATGGCTGCCCCATCCCCTGTGGCTGTGAGTTGCGGACCAGGTGTGCCTGGCTGCTCCCCCTGTTGCTGTGAGTTGTGAACCAGGGGTGCAAGGCTTTCCCCTTTGCTGTGAGTTGTGAACCAGGTATTTACCTGGCTGCTTCCCCTGATGTTGTGTTGTGAACCAGGTGTGCAAGGCTTCCCCCTGTTGCTCAGTTGTGAACCAGGTGCGCAAAGCTTCCCCCTGTTGCTGTGAGTTGTGAACCAGGTGTGCAAGGCTTCCCCCTGTTGCGGTGAGTTGTGAACCAGGTGTGCAAGGCTTCCCCCTGTTGCTCAGTTGTGAACCAAGTGTGCAAGGCTTCCCTCTGTTGCTGTGAGTTGTGAACCAGGTGTGTGCCTTGCTGCTCCCCGATTGTTGTGTTGTGAACCAGGTGTGCAAGGCTTCCCCCTGTTGCTGTGAGTTGCGAACCAGGTGTGCCTGGCTGGTCCCCCTGATGTGTGTTGTGAACCAGGTGTGCAAGGCCGCCTCCTTTGTTGTCCTGAGTTGTGAACCCAGTTTCACAGTCCCTGCCTGAAGTCTATCATTAACAGAGTCTAAGGCAGGGGTAGGCAACCTTGGCTCTTTTATGACTCGTGGACTTCAACTCCCAGAATTCCTGAGCCAGCCATGCTGAGGGACAGGGAGAGGTTTCCAAGCTCAGCCATGCTGGCTCAGGAATTCTGGGAGTTGAAGTCCACCAGTCATAAAAGCCAAGGTTGCCTAGCCCTGCCCTAGGCCGCTTTATGACTCATAGACTTCAACTCCCAGAATTCCTGAGCCAGCCATGCTGAGGGGAAAGGGAGAGTTTCCAAGCTAAGCCATGCTGGCTCAGGAATTCTGGAAGTCCACGAGTCATAAAAGAGCCAAGGTTGCCTACCCCTGGTCTAAGGTGTCTACGCTTAAATATTCTTGCTGGATGGGATAAATTTAGCACCCTGGATGAGAAGCCACCAGTCTTAAAGTGGCCAAGATTGAGGACCCTTGCATGCCATCCTTGTAGCAGGTGTGTGTGTGTGTGTGTGTGTGTGTTAGGATGGCATCCTAACTCTCACACACGAGCATCACAACCTTTGCGAGTCTTGTGGCTCTTCCACGGTTTATATTTCCCATGCAGTTATCCGAGTGATTCATTAAATGTCGGAATCTGGACGGAATAATGAAAGCAGCAGCTCAGCCACTACTGGAGAAATAAAGGGAGACAACCTCAGACCCTTCTCAGGAGGACTTTTCTGTGGGTCTGGGATAGCCGTACCCCCCCACACACACCCACGCAACTGCCCCCTCCTCTTCTCTTCTCTCCCAACAGGCCTTGCTGGACTGCGTTGAAGATTTGGTGCAAAGGTTTCGGGACGATGCCATCGACCTGGTGGTGGGGATTGACGCCATGGGGTTCATCCTGGGTACGTCTCTCTCGCTTCTCTTTCACTCCCCTCAGCCACGTCCTCAGCCCGGGGGGAGGAGACCCCCTTTGACGGGGCAAGCCACTGGAGGACAAACAGATAGCAAACAAACTCCTCTTCCTCCTAGCACGGATGATGTTCCCTAGTTGGGTCATGAAACGTCTGCAAGGAAAGCACCCAACTCAGAGAGCACCAAGGACCCTGCAGTCCTCCTTCTCCTTCCTCTCCTCTTTCTCCTCCTCCTCCTCCTACTACTACTACTACTACTAGTAGTAGTAGTAGTAGTAGTACTTTTGGCAAACCTCCACCCCCTTCTAGCACTGAAGATGTTCCCTAGTTGGGTGATGAAACGTCTGCAAGGAAAACCACCCAGTTCAGAGAGACCACTAAGGACCCCACAATTCTCCTCCTCCTCCTCCTCCTCCTCCTCCTCCTCCTCCTCCCTTCTAGCCCTGATGATGTTCCCTAGTTGGGTCATGAAACATCTGCAAGGAAAACCACCCAGCTCAGAGAACACGCAGGACCTCTCATTTCAACCCTGAGCTACAAAGATTCTCCTTCTTTGGGACACTGAGTCACTCTCCGGCCAGTCCCCTCCCTGCCAAGTGACTCTCGGTTGGCTGAATTCTTGTCTCAGGGTTGTTATGGCTAGGAAAAAACAGGGAGAAAAGCAGAGGTCAGCAACCATTAAGCCATGGGCCCACCTTCCCTAGTGGCTTTCAAGTGGGGCCCTTCGGACACCTGCTAAGTGTGGCTCCCTGGAGTCAGGGGTGGGTCTAGATGACCTCTGAAGTCCTTCTAATTCATCATGTAATGATTCTAGGAAGGATGGAAGAAATAGCTTACTAAGGACCGGGATCTGGGGCTCCTCCCCACTCTTCCCTCTCACCCAGGTGCTGCCATCGCCGTCACCCTCCAAAAAGGCTTCGTGACCATCCGGAAAGCTGGCCATCTCTGTGTCGAGACTCGCACCCAGACCTACCGGGACTACACAGGCTGTGAAAAAGTGATGGAAACCCGCACAGACGCCATCAGCCCAGGTAGAGGATTCCTTCTTAATGACTGATTAAATTTGCAATTGGATGCAATTCTGTGCTCCTTTGCTAGCTGGGGGCCCCTCTGTTGGGGGGGGGCACTGCCAGAGGGAGCCTCTGCACAGACCACAGCCAGAAAGTGGGCTGGAAAACTCCACCTCCACCTGCCGGGACCCCTCTCAAGGGCTGGGGGGCGGGCAGGGGAACAGCTGGGTGAAAAAGACTCCAGACCCACCTTGCTTCTGCCCCCCTCTCCAGGTGTCCGGGTCCTGCTGGTGGATCAATGGGTAGAGACAGGGGGCACCATGCAGGGTGCCATCCAGCTGGTGGAACGCCAAGGCGGTGTGGTGGCAGGTAAGGACGGGAGGGGGCACCCAGGATGGATTTCTTCCCCATGTTTGGCCTGAGGACTAGTCATTGAAGCCTCCACCTGCAGTGGCAGTCTACCTTAGCAGCTACAGCCCAGCAGGGGTTCTTAAATGCATTTCACAGCTCCCAGTGCAGACGCCATGTTCAGAAATAATAATAATAATAATAATAATAATAATAATAATAATAATAATAATAAAATACAAAAACCTACAAATAGAAATAGAAGGCCTGTGGCAAAAGCAAGCAAGGATAGTACCAATAGTCATAGGCGCCTTGGGTGCAATCCCAAAACAACTGGAGCACCACTTGAACACTATTGGCATTGACAAATTCGCTATTAGTCAATTGCAAAAGGCAGCCTTACTAGGAACTGCTTCCATCCTGCGACGATATCTGTAATACCATCAAACATCCACATCTGCCCCTCCCAGGTGCTGGGTAAGGACTCGATAGGTAGACAAAATGCCAAATCCAGTCTGAACATCTGGCTGACTGTGCGATGATCCACAATAATAATGATGATGATGATGATGATGATGATGATGATGATGATGATGATGATGATGATGATGATGGAAGGGACCTTGGAGGTCATCTAGTCCAACCCCCTGAGGTAGATAGTCTACCTCAGGCTGCCAGATTCATGTCATCCATTTTTTTTTGTAATCTGGCACCTTCCCAGTGTGTTAAAACTGGTGGTCCTCCCGGCCCACCCAGAGGGCACCAGGTTGGAGAACAAGGCTGCAGGCCTAACAAAGACAATTAGGGGGCCGGAGGCTAAAACATATGCAGAACAGTTGCAGGAATTGGGTCCATCTAGTTTAATGAAGAGAAGGACGAGGGGTGACAGGGTAGCAGGCTTCCAATGTTTGAGGGGCTGCCACAGAGAAGAGGAGGGGGTCAAGCTGTTCTCCAAAGCACCTGAGGGCAGGAGAAGAAGCAACGGATGGAAACTAATTAAGCAGAGAAGCAACCTGGAACGAAGGAGAAATTTCCTAAGAGTGACAATTAACCAGTGGAACAGCTTGCCACCACACAGTGCTCCAACACTGGAGGTTTTTAAGAAAAGATTGGTCGTCATTTGTTTGGGATGATCTAGGGCAGGGATAGGCCACCTTGGCTCTTTTATGACTGGTGGATTTCAACTCCCAGAATTCCTGAGCCAGCCATGCTGAACGGAAAGGGAGGTTTCCATGCTGAGCCATGCTGGCTGAGGAATTCTGGGAGTTGAAGTCCCCGAGTCATGAAGGGACCAAAGTTCCCCCATGCTGACTCAGGAATTCTGGGAGTTGAAGTCCACAAGTTATAAAGGGAGGCCATAGTTCCCCCATGCTGGCTCAGGGAATTCTGGGAGTTGAAGTCCACCAGTCATGAAGGGGGGGACATAGTTCCCCCATGCTGGCTCAGGAATTCTGGGAGTTGAAGTCCACCAGTCATAAAGGGGCCAAAGTTCCCCATACTGGCTCAGGAATTCTGGGAGTTGAAGTCCACCAGTCATAAAAAAGCCAAGGTTTTCTTATCCCTGATCTAGAGTAAGAGTTTACAATAGTGGCGAATACCTGTAGCTTGAGTGTAGGATGGGGGCGGAGATTCGTTCTCCGAGCTTGTGGGTTGGTTTCTGAACGTTTCATTGCCAGGCTAGGTAACATCTTGTCAACCGTCCGTCTGGCAAATTCAATATTGAAGAAACTCTACGCTTCTGAGGTGCCGTAAGTGATCATCTTTATTGAATACACATCCTGGTGCTGAAGAAGCAAAAATCAACTCTTTAAAGTTTCCCACGTGAAAATCTGGTTAGTGAACGATATAATACTATATAATACTATATCGATATAATACTATATCAACCTATAATAATACTTCTTCCAGACACGCAATAAAGCAATTCTTAAAATATGAGATTTAAAAACCTGGTCTACTTTTTTATTATAAATTAAATACGCATGCCATCCATATAGTAAATCCTATCCCTCAAGAGAAAGTATATTTTTATTTATTAAGTTAAGCCGATCACTAATCAAAGTTAATACCACCGGATCGTAATACAATTTTAAATTAGGTGCCTTAAGTCCTCCTCTTTCCCGTGCATCTTGTATAATCTTAAACTTAACTCTTGGTTTTTTCCCTGCCCAAATAAATTTATTAATGCCCTTCCGCCATTCATCTAAATTAGCATCTTTTTTTAAAATAGGTATCATTTGAAACAAAAAAAGAAATTTTGGTAGAACATTCATTTTAATCGCTGAAATTCTCCCCAGCAAAGATAATTGTAATTTTTTCCAATCGTTTAAATCCTTTTGCACTTTTGCCCATAATGTCTCATAATTATTCTTATACAATTTTATATTAGAAGCTGTGATATATACTCCCAAATATTTAACCTTTTTCACTATTTCAAAACCTGTTAACTAATATTTCCTTTTCCCTCATAGTCATATTTTTTGATAATATTTTAGTCTTATTATTGTTTACTTTAAAACCAGAAACTTTCCCATATTGGGTTATAATTTCTACTAAATCTATAACCGAATAAGTCGGTTGAGATAAAGTCACAACCAAGTCATCTGCAAAAGCTCTCAATCTATAATCATTTTTATTTATTTTTATTCCCTTTATTTTAGATGATTCACGAATTTTAATTAATAAAATTTCCATTGTTAAAACAAACAACAACGGAGATAATGGACACCCTTGTCTTGTACCCTTTTTAATTTTAAATACCTCTGTTAACCCCCCATTAACTATGATTTGAGCCGATTGTTGTAGATATATAGCCTTGACAGCATATAAAAACTTATCCCCAAAACTCATTTTCTCTGCAACTTTCAATAAAAATTGCCAGTTTAACTGATCAAAAGCTTTTTCAGCATCTATAAAAATCAAAGCTGCAGGAATTTGATTATTCTTATCCAAATACTCAATTAGATTAACAATTTGTCTTACATTATATTTCATAAATCTTCCAGTTATAAATCCAGATTGATCACTATGAATCATTTGTTTCAAAACATGCATTAATCTATTTGCCAATATTTTGTAAAAATCTTATAATCTGTATTCAAAAGAGATATAGGTCTATAATTCTTAGGCTGAGTCAAATCTTGATCCTCCTTTGGAATCAACGATATAAAAGCTCTTCTCCAAGATGGAGGCACTTCTGCTCCCAACAGAATGCTATTAAAGAGTTCCTTTAATGGTTCTATCATTTCTTCAAATAAGATTTTATAATACCTAGCTGTTAGTCCATCTGTACCAGGAGCTTTATCAATCTTCAATTGTTTAATAGCAAAAATAATTTCTTCAGAAATAATTGAACCATTCATCTCATTTCTTTGGTCATCTGAAAGTCTAGGAAAATTTGCAGATTGCAAATACTTATCTATATCTGAAACTTGTATATTTTCACTAGCATATAACTTTGTATAAAAATCTAAAAAACTCTTTTTAATCAGGTTTTGTTGATAAACCTCTTTACCTTTATAAACTATTTTATCTATAACCCTTGATTTCTGTTTCTTCCGTAACTGATAAGCCAGCCACCTGCCAGGTTTATTTGCATTACAAAATGCATTATGTTTCATATAACTTAAATTAATTGCAACCTGATCAGCCATTAACATATTAAATTGCTCCTTCAACATATTTATAGAAACTTTTAAACTATTATCCAATGGGTTCAAAATATAAGCCCTCTTTTTCATTTTAATCTCTTCTTCCAACTCTTCACATTTTTTTGTCTGTTTACGCCTATGCGCATTGTTCATATGAATCAAAACCCCTCTCATATAAGCTTTGCTGGCATCCCACACCATAGCCATTGAAGTACCTTTATGCATATTCAAAGCAAAAAATTCCTTCAAATGTTCTCTACATTTTTGAGAAATCCCCTCGTATCTAAATAAATTCTCATTCAACCTCCAAGATCTTCTACTCCCTTCTTCAGCAGATAACTCCAACCATACAGGACTGTGATCCAACAAAGTCCTAGAAAAAATCTTGGCATTCTTAACCCTAGAAAAGAGATCAGTAGTAATTAGAAAAAAAAATCAATTCTAGAAAACGATTGATGCCTGTCCGAGAAAAAAGTATAGTCTCTATCTTCCATATTCCGTTCTCTCCAAATATCTCTAAGTTCCAAATCATCCTTCAAATCAAAAAAAACTTTAGGTAATTTAGCTTGATTAGAAGATTTCGTAGATCTTCTCTTGTCCTTACTAGCATCTATAACTCCATTCCAGTCCCCCATCATAATAACAGATTTATAATCCAACTGAGTCAGTTTCTGATGTATCAGCTTATAAAACTGCTTTTGTTGTTGATTAGGAGCATACAATCCAATAATAAGAAGTCTCTTGCCATATAATGCTAGATCAATAATAACATATCTTCCTTGTGGGTCAGAATCAATTAATTTAGCAGATAAATCTTTCTGCACATAAATAACTACCCCCCCTTTTTTTTCTCCGGAGCAGGAGCTATAAAATGTGATCCTAACCGTGAGTTAATCAAATACTTTTGATCCTTCGAAGTAATATGAGTCTCTTGCAAACAAACAACATCATTCTTATGTTGTTTCAAATAATGAAATACTTTCCTTCTTTTCTGTGGCGAATTCAGGCTGTTAACATTCCATGTCAGAAACTTTGCCATTTTTAATGGCCTGAAGCCTCCGGACCACCGCTTGAAGATCTGCAGTAGAAGATCTTTTCCGTCTTGTCCCTCCCACGGGCTCTGAAGTAGTCACATCCTGTACTGTAGATCCAGCCTCCACTTCTTTCTGTTCCTTTTCTTTACGTCTGTAAGCTGCACGAGTCATTCTCTGCCCCTTTGGGGCCTCTTTTATGTCCAAACATTGTTGAGCAGACTCCTGTAAGTCACTTACAACTAATGACATTGCGCCTTCAGCCGGCAGTTTTTCCAACTTATCTTCATCTCTCTTAGATCGTGGAAATGGTGGTGAACCTGCCTTCAGGACAGAAGTA